TATCCACTAGCAGGTTCACACGAATTTGGCTTCTAATGAGCAGAAGAATCTTTAAGACATATGGGAAAACGTCCTAGATATTAGATTTTGACCTCCATATAGTCTGGTTGAGATGCCTTTAACAGTCCTCCACTAGGAATTAGAACACATACTCCTATAGAAGATACTGGAACATAGCTTTTACACCCCTATGCGCTTAGATCAGAAATAAACTGACCCAAGGAATGTTCATCAAGATGATCATGTGTTAACCTTCACTTCCACCAGCACATCTATCCATAACAAGTTTCTTGGATAGAGACTTCCCAGACTGCAAACCAAATGTCTCTTCAAGTCCAATCTAAAGAAGATTCCCAATACTTTTTGATAAACACACATTTGTTTAGCATCCAGAGCATATGCTACATCACTCCATTATCCAAGAAGTTCACTCCTTGGATCAACAAGATTTGCAGGCACTCTTATGGAATGATGTTTTAACATCTGCTTGAACATCAGTTCCTTTTCTAATGAATAGATCATTGAAATTGGTTCTGAAGCCATTACTAGAATTACACACTTTGATTACATTTAAGGACAAGATAAAGGCCTTTCGAGAACTTCACAGATGATACCGACTATATCCATTCTTCAAGACAAATTAGATACATAGAATAAGTTCTTGAGTTCTTGCGACTATCTAAAGCTGCACCTTCTGGTGTGACATTTTGACATCATCTTTCTTGAACATCAAGCAAAAGGATAATCAATTAAATGCCTGTTAAGGCCACAAATAGCAATTGATTTTAAATCTCAATTTTGTATTCTTCAATCACAAAATGTCATTAGACTCCCCTTTAGCTAGAGAATCCTGATGATGATTACAATGTGGAGACATTATGATTAACATCCATGACTCAACTTGCTTCTTGATACACAACCTCTTGATAGTTCAATGTTCTGTTTGGTGTTCAGACTAGGAAAACCATATTCTTCTAAATATTCCAAAACCCTCTTCACTAGATGAGTCCTCTATAATTGTTCAGTCCTTACAGACTCCAATTTCTTCAGGTTGACACCCCTCCTTACTCTAGCTACAAGATCAAGAATAAGACATCCAACACAACCTAGAAAGAAATCTTCAAAGCATAAATCTTCCTTAGAAGACCATCTTCAGACAAACCAGTAATATCCTTGGATAATCAGGATCACTTTCCAAGTGTTAGAAACCTCATGTAGTTTCTCTTGAGATCAGTAGGAAAATTTTCTCCACAAAGATCCAATGTCTTCACACTCAAAAGAATGGTTTGACATTGATCAACTTTTACTCCAATTGCAACCTAGTTGAATGCCAGTACAATTGTGTTTTCATTTGAACAACCATACCGTTCCTTCTTTTCTGTTCCAAAATAGACTGCCTTCCAAGAATTCTGATAAGGAATCCTCAAACATAGACAATCTTTTATAGGGTTGAGAGAAAAAAAATAAATTGCTCATGTCTTTCTTCAATGGTATGACATTCTCATATCACACTTCTTAAATAAGTGCCCGTGGATCTTCTTCTTGACCATCTTCTCTATTTATCAAACACATTCAGAAGTGCCTTTATGAGTGGACTTGAGAGAAAACTCAAGTATCTTGGGCTACTTTAAACATGACATGGAGTGTTTACCAAATCCATAGATCATGAATTTGATAAACAAGATCTCAACTCAACCCTTTTCCTCCTACTACCCTTCATGGTACCTCGTTGAAACTATCTCCCAAGCAACATAGGAAGATCCTTTAGTGGAAGCCAAATCATAATGCTTTCTCCTTTATATTACTCCCAGCTAGTGATGGCTTGAACATCTATAGAGGCTGACACCATCTTCAGCACGTGCCAGGTAAGATGCCAGAACATCTTATAAGGCACCATGCATAACAATAACATTATTATCAGCAGCAACGGTAGCATCTTCACAAAAGTATCAGTCAACCATCAGTAGTTGTCAGGATGGATTCAAAAAGCGTTCATCCTAGCTTCCAATCCCCTTGAATGCAACAGTAATGGATGGTCTGATCATACAATCTTCTTCCTTGTTCAAAAGACCAGAAAATATCTTCCCTAGAACTCATCCAGAAACAAAATAGAATGTCTGCTCTGATACCAATTGAAATTCTAGTATACAGATCTCATATGTCCCAAGAAATGTTGAGACATTAGTCTCTGCTTTACTAAACAAGGATAAAACAATAACATTATGATATCTTAAAGTCATAACAGTGTCATGACAGATGTTTCAACATCTGTTAAGACATATATTTTAGAACATAAGAATAAACTAAATTATATGTAGAAGAATGATAAATAACACCAAGATATAATGAACCAATTTGGTGTACCACAACACCTACATCTGGAGGCTACCAAGCTAGGAATGAATTCACTATCAGTAGTATTAATTCTAAGTATACAACCTCCGGTAAGTTATCACTTAATTCCCTACCCAGTGCAACTTCTACCTAGAAACCCATATAGATAAGAGAAACCCATCTCAATTCCTAAATCACCTCAGTGATATCTAACAGTCACAACCTCCGGTGGTTGTATCAAACTGTTCAATTGAAAGACAACTCTTTCAACACAATATTTAGTCAATACTCTTGACTTACACTAATACTTGAATTTGCTTAAAAGCTTCATCCAAGAACAATATACAATTCATTTCATACAAGTTTCTAAATATGAAAGACTATGTCTACCACAGTGTATCAAAATCTTCAGCTATCTATGAGATTCAAAATCTCTGTCCAATCATTCCTTGATCCATGTTCTGATTGCACCTTAAATCTTGGAACAGATTTGCAACAAACCTGCTGTATCAGACTAAGATGTCGAGTCCTTAAGATAAGACATCTTGTCTGACATGTTGTTCTTTACAGATTTCTTCATATTATAACATCTTATTCAACATCATGTTTTACCAAAATTTAGTCAAATCTTAGAGCCTTCAAAGAGTAACAATTTTGTTCTCAACAAGATCTCTAATAAAATGATGATGAATGTGAATATACTTTGTCTTGCTATGTTGAACGAATTTTTAGAAATGTTGATAGCACTCAAGTTGTCATAGTATATTGTCATGACAACTTGTTTGATATTATACTCTTTAAAATCTGCTTCATCCAAATCAACTGAGAGCAGTAGCTTCCTGCAGCAATATACTCAGCCTCAATAGTGGATAGGGACACAAAATTCTGCTTCTTGCTAAACCAAGATATAAGGTTGTTCACTAGGATGAAACATCCCCCATAAGTGTTTTTCCTATCATCAATACTACCTGCTTAATCAGCATCACAATATCCAACAAGAATTGCATCAGAACCATGAGAATATAGCATACCATAGTCACTTGTACCATTGACATACTTCATAATCCTCTTTACTTGATTGATGTGACTAATTTTGGGCTCAGCTTAATATCTTGCACAAACACAAACATTAAATGTGATATCAGGTCTGCTAGCTGTGAGGTACAACAGGCTACCAATCATGCTTTTGTATAGACTTTGATCCACATTAACACCATTTGCATCTTTAGAGAGTTTCAAATGTGTAGGTGCATGTGTCCTCTTGTGACTAGCATTCTCCATTCCAAACTTCTTCACTATGTTCTTGGCATACTTACTTTGAGATATGAAGATAGAATCATCTATTTGTCACACTTAAAGTCCAAGAAAATATGTTATAAGACTCATCTCAAATTCAGATTTCATCTGTTTGAAAAATTGTTGGACCATCTGGTATGACATCCTCCCAAATACAATGGCATCCACATATATTTGAGCAATCATGTGTTTTCCATCCTTTTCGTATTGTTATTTCTAGTCATTTTCACTTAGCATTTCATCACATTTGCATCGTTTTGCTTCTGTTTACCATGGTTTATACTTTGCTTGTGATTCTTACTAATATCAGGACCTAATGAGCATGATAAGAAGATACATGGAACATCCTGTTAAACTTCACCTAATGGTTTCCAAAAGGATTATGAGGTATTTGTAAGAAAAATTGAGTAGGAAATTATGTACAAGAAAGGTGAGAAATCTGAGTTAGTTGGTTACTTAAAAAATGAATACATAAGATATGTTTATGACAAAAAAATTACTTCAGGTTATGTGGTCATGCAAGGGTCTGGTGCAGTATCTTAGTCACCAAGAAAGCAAATTATTATGACCATGTCCACAATTGAAGTTGAATTTATAGCTGCAACTCACATTGTATGTCAAGACATATAATCATAAAGAATTCTAGATAGCCTGGGCCTATAGCAAGACATGTATGTGTTTAACTGTTTTCTTTAACAATAGCTTTACTATCAAGCTAAACAAAATTCCGGTCATGCATGAAAGGAGTAAACATATCAATATTAGGTTTCACTTTTTGAGCAACCTAAATAAAGAAGATAAAGTTAAATTGATATTTAGTTCCTCACATGATCAGCTAACTGATATAATGACTATAAGTTTGAATTGTTCAAGAAACTATTTGGAATTTGTAGGATTTCAAAGACTTTGAAATTGTGTTGTGATACCATTTGTATACTAGTTGCTTGCACAACTTAGTTTAAGAGAGAATTTTAATTATAGACTTTGTTAATTTTGTTATAATAACAAAAATTAGTTAGGGTTATTACTACTGATTTTCAGTTGAAAGTTTGTTTGGTGTATAAGTTATATAAATGCCATTGGCGTTAATAATAACATCATAAGTTGCAATGCATAGCTTCATGTCCTACCAAAAACTTGCATTCAACAAATGGACTATCATTTGTGTTGAACTAATAGTACAACATGGACTTTTGAATGCAACATTGGATCTTAGAAGCATAATAACTTGTTCACAAATAATCTCATAAATATTAAACAAACTGTTACAACATTCCACTCATAATAATACTTCATAAGAAACAACCCAAATGAAAAACGAAAAAGAAGAATTACAAAACAAAAACATTAAATACAATGCAAACACAATTTCAAGTAGTAGAAGCCTTGGTGAGAGAAGTAATGGTAATAGAAACACCAACAACAGCTTCTTTAGTCTCAAATTCAAAAGTATCATAACGCAAGAAAAACTCAACCAAAAACAATCTACACAAAAGCACAACCAGATTCTTCCCAGGACACTGTTTATTATCCACAGAAGGTTCATCTGTTTCTTTCCCATTCGACCATAAAACATACTTTAATAACTTTTCACCTTCCCCAACAAACCTCGTTGGAACAAAAACCTCAGCATCATCGAAAATCCTAGGATCCTTAGTAGCAAAAGGTTGGTATCCAAATAACATCTCACCCTTTTTAACTTCAAAAGCAGAATCATGACTCTCCACGATCAAATCCTCTCTCGCTTTTGCATATTGATAACGAACAATAGGTTCAATCCTCATGGTTTCATAAACAACAGATTTTACTAAGGGCATTCTTTCCAATGACCGAATTGTTACTCCTCCTTCTTGTTTTACAACGCTTCTTATCTCGTTTGCGAGTTCTTTGTGAAGCGTTTCGCCGCATAAACCTATCCATTTGAAGAGTGTTGGGAACTGATTCTTGAATCCGCCGTATGAGTTGAAACCAGCTATGAAAATGAGATTGTGACATGCTTCGGCTCTTTTCAATCCTGCGTTTTCTGCTCCGTTTAAAAGTGTTACAGCTGAAGAAGAAAATGCTTCGTAGAGCTTCTTGTAAGAGGACCTAGCCAAACACGTCGTAAAATATATGAAGTAAATCCATATAATGAAATAATAGTTTTATTTTTAAATGATGTGTCACTTCTAAAATTTGACAAATTATTATATAAAAGACGGTCAAAGAGAGGATGTTATGAAAAGAAGAAGAAAATTTCCGTGTAAAATTATATATTAAAGACACAGTAATAATCTCACCTTGTCAAACAAGCAGGAAATTGAACAGTACGGAGCAAGATATCTTCAAGATAATTGAAAATCTTAGGAAGTTTTAGGGTTTCAATTGGAAAAAGTTGAAAGATAATCCATGCGTCCAACATTTTAGGACCTTGAGAACCAAGTTTAGTTTCAGAAGGATCCTTATTATCACAAAAAAGGCGAAACATGAAGTTAAACGAAGCCACACTAAAAATAGTGTTAAAATCTGCTTTACCGCTTTTACTAGAAAGCCCTTCTTCAATCTCATTAAAAGCTTCAGAAAGTATGCTTCTAAAGAGAGGGACAAAGGAGTCTTTTCTCAACAAAAGTTCATTAAGAAAGAAACCTTTGATAAGAGCATGGTTAGGTTCAGTTGTGTCTAACTGTGAACAGACACGGTAGCCTCCGGTGAAATTTGTCGATGGCATAAAGGTACCGTCGAAGACGTTGTGTTTCTCGACTTTTGTATTGTCGAAAAGGATCGGGAAAGAAGCTGCGTCCAAGAGTGCAATGACTCTTGGGTTAGAGGAAATGAATGGACCTGGTGGCATGTTGGTTCTGAAGATAGTTGAGTTGTATTTTTGGATTCTTGTTGAGAAGAATTTGTCTCTTCCTTGGTTGTAGAAATAATCGTGTCGGTCGAAAATCGGTCCGATGAAGGGGAGGCCGTAGCTGCCAGGGATTTGTTTTAGTGGTAGCTGGTTGTCGTTGTTGGGGGTGGTGGATGCCATGTTGATGAAACTCAATATTTTTTGATATGTTAATTTAGGTATAGTTGTTTTCTTTATATAGAGCGGTAGAAGTACAAGTATATTACATAATGATATATCGTGGCTTATTCAAAAGGAAAATGTTTTGCACGAGTTTATATATCTGAATAAGAAAGATAATAATATGATACGTTAGGTATTAGGTGAAGTTATGGGAAGAGATCAAGTATTATAATAGACGTGACTGTGTTATCAAGAGAGAATTTGTCCCTTCCATCATCAACTAGTATATCCAATCTTATAAATTTAAAATAAAAACTAGTATATTCAATATCTATTGCAATTTGCAGGCAAATTTGTAAATCAATTAATATAATTGTGGAAAACGATATTCATGTGTTGTCACTGTATATATACTAGCGTTCAGACGGGCACTCCGTGTTCGTCTGTCCGCTTTTTTTAATACGCACAACATAGAAAAATAAACGTGTGTATATTTTGTACGAAGTTTTTATCATACTTAAGATTAAAAATAATAGTTTTAGATATTCTCGAATAGTCTTAAAATGTGCGCATGTTTTTTTTAGTGTGCATACGTTATGGGCAAATCACTCATTTATCGAAAGAGTCTATATAGTATAACCTTTAAAGAGAGAGAAGTTTTCCTTCTGGTTATTGTTATCTCATGTCAAAGGTCCAACTAATTGGAAATATCTTCTTACAGCTAATGACAATTCGTTTAATACATTTAAAATATCAGCTGAGGATAAATGATTTCTAGAGACTGATCATAATATTTGTGATTGTTTGATTGAGACTACGACTCTTCAAATGCCATATGCTTTAAGGAGGTAATTCGTCACAAAACTAATATTTTGTGAACTTAGACCTATATCAATCAAAGTATGCTTAATTTTAATAACTTTTTTTCAATAAAAAAAATCGCCTATATATTTTATTATTATTCTAAAACGTGTAAGATATTAAAATTATTTGTTGAAAATTTTACAATTACTTTGAATATTCATAATGCAGATTTAAATTAGCATGAACATCATTAAAATAAATAAACACATTTTCAACATATTAGAGGCAATGGTGACATCAAACGTACAAATTCTAACTATAAGCATCAAGCCAATATTTAAAATAAGTAATTTAATTTGATTCGATAACTAAATTTTGTAATTAATTTTTAATGGGTAGTTGAAATAGAATTGGAGGCCATATTTATTTATTTAATAAAAAACAAAAAATAATCTATTAATTTATAAATTGTTATAAAGATAGATATATATATTTTAATAATAATTATTGCAAACACATAATTGTGGAAACTTAGAAAGAAAATCAACACCTTAAAACAAATTTTAAATTTTTGTAGACCGGTAAGTACACAATTAATCTGCACTAAAATTAATATATATATATATATATATATATATATATATATATATATATATATATATATATATATATATATATATATATATATATATATATATATATATATATATATATATATATATATATATATATATATATATATATATATATATATATATATATATTTGTGGAGTGAAATAAGATGTCAAGTGTTCCGTTACAATTATTTTTTGGCAAAATAATTTGTAACGCCTAGCCATTTTTGTATCTTTGTTAAACTTTCTCATTTTCCTTGAATATACAAAGCTGAAAGCAAACAAAAAAATATGATAAATACATAATTGAATAGTATTTTACATGAACAAATTGGTTTTAGGGTGAGTGTCTCACCTAACTTGAAAAATTATGTCACTACATTTAAAAAAGTATCCTATGACCCTGGCTTTTCCAGAATTGTGCCATTAGCTTGTCTACGTGGTAGCATTTCTATGTGATAGCTAGCATTCACATTATTGTTTTGGATATATGTGCTCCTTCACTTCCTTCTTATATAACACTTTCTATTTTACTTACAATCCAAATAAATTTGAACTCATTTTTATCTTCACCCTATTTTCAATATTTGATCACTGTTCATTCTTTTTCTCTCATTTCCTGAACCTCTTTCCTCTTTATGACAAATCAATAATAATAATAATAAAATTGAAAAGATACAAAATCAAATTTTAAAATGATTGTTGAGGCAATTTCTCTACATAAACAACTTTGTCTTTGACTCTTTCTCTCTCGACTTGAATAGCATTCACAGTCACAAAAATTGTACATAATAAAAAGAATAAGTCAATAAATTAAAAGTACAAAAACATAAGACATATTCGAAACTAAATAGAACAAACATATACAAATTTCAACATCAAAATAATTAATTAAAATACCCTAATATGAGAAGAACGAAAGTTATGATAGAGATTGCAACCATAATATAGAAGACAAAAAAAAGGAGAAAAAAAAAGAGATGTGAGAAGAATTGGAGGTTCCATAAACCTTTGCAACATGAGCGCTCTTATAAATTTTCATTTGTAAAAACTGGTTATGTTTAATCCAGAGAGAAAATTGTCCATTGGATCTTTGTTTTACTTTATGACATTTATATGTTCTTATCTTTCTCTTTTTTGTAACTTTCAGATAGTTATTGTATGTCTATCTCTTCCACAATAACTTTTAGGTGCTTATTGTATGTGGAAGTTACTTAAACTAATTCTTTGAATTGTAAAATATAGATGTTGATTGATTGCAAATATGCTTCATCTCTCTTCAAGAATAAAAAGATCATTGATCAAAATTAAATAAATGAAAAAAAATTATAGAATAGAATTTTTTTAAAAAAAAAAATAGTATGTTGATTGAGAAAGAGATGAAATTTAAAAAAAAGAAATAGAAGATGTTTCTTAACTTGTGTCACAATTGACGGTTAATGGAAGTTATAGATGTACGTTTTTTTTAGAGATAGAAGTTAACTATTCAATTGGTAACCAACAAAAGTTACCAACTACTCAATCTAAAATATATCACTATTTTATTCTTAAAATTTGTCATTTAACCAATTATGTTACTATTTATCATTTAAATGTTGAGATGATTCAATCATATTAATGTTTGAAGAAATTATATTACACAAAAATGATAAATTTTACATTCTACTTTGATACAATTTTGTTTTATTTATGTTTTTTTGTTGTATATAATTTTTTTGATTCTTTATGTTTGACTATGGAATAATTCATCTCAAATTTACAATTATATTGTTATTGTAGATTTCATGCATGCTTGATTCGTATAGTTTCAGTTTTTGTTGTTCATCACTTATTTCATATAGTTAAGAATAATTTGTGTTCAAATGAATTATTTAGAACATTGTTTTGATGTTATTTTACTCTATTTTAAAAATAATTTGTATTCATTATCTTGGTGGGAACAATGTTTGGTCAAACTTATGATCTCTCAGGTCGAACTCTAGATTACTAGGACCCTTGATCATCTCTAAAGGACAATTCTTCTCTCTTTTTATTTCTTTTTCAATCATCATCTTTTTTTATAAAAATAATATGTTAAAAGTTACAAAATTAAGAGATAAATTTAAAATTTAATTGGAAAAATTACTGTCTATAACAAACGGTTACTAGAAAACCGGATATGCGTTTTAGCCGATGGAATCGAATAACGAGTAATGAGAATCACTACGCTAGTCACACTCTCAATTTGATTTAGCTCACAAAGTAGTATGACTAGTTTCAATGCCTTAAAATATTACCACAATAAATGGACAGCACACAAGTATTTTCGTTCAGGCAATTTATCAAACACTTGGCGTGCAGAGCACTTCAAGTGAGTTCAACTTTGAGTACTTTGCTCTAATTTCCTTGTACAATCAACGATTGTACTAGAGTAAAAAATAGTCCAGCACTCACTCAAAACAGTTCTAAATTTGATATAATTGCTTGTATTAAAACCACACAAATATTAAGCAAATGTAAAAGCGTAAGGTAAAAGGCACAAGGATTTGTTGAGGCAGTTCCCCCGCCGTCCTCGCTTTGGGGTACGTCTGCCCTCAATTCTAACAATAGAATTGAGCTCTTATAATATAAATTTAACATGTTGTAGAATCGTATATATAAGAATGAAATAGCAATCGAACAAACAAACTCCTTTGTTGTTGTAGAAGATATCTCCTCTTATCCCTTGATTCGAGTCGAATCAAGTCCTTCGACAACTTGTGTATGAACCTCCGATTACAGCTCTATGTTTGAACAAGCTTCCGTCTTCAAACCCCATCCCGACTGATCTCAAACACTCGCGTGTCGAAACCAAACTTCTCCTTCATAATTCGCTGATTACCGCTACTAGATCGACGGAACCCACCGCTCCTCGATCACCTTCACTCGGCCGAATATATGTTGAGAAGACTCGTCCAAAAGCCCCCAAATTCAGAGAATCTTGGAGGACAAAACCCTAGAGGTTTTATTCAAGAAAAATCTGTCAGTTCCTCAACCCGAACCGGATTACCCAATCACGGCTTCGAACGTTATCACCTTAGACAATCCACAATGCACAACAAAAATTATTGTGTGTGATTGTTGTGATATGAAATGTAGAAGATGAAGATGAAGAGAACCTGAATTGACACCTCTTTCACTTTTCTTGTTTTTGTAATTGATTCAATTGATATGAAATGAATAGAGCAACTGAATATTTATACCATACAAAACTATTATAACTGATAAAACAAACTTTCAAAAATAATAGACAACACAAAAATTATGCAGCAAACAGCGAGCGGTCATGCAGAGTGCAGGGTCGACCTGAGCTAACCCGAGGCAAGACATTGTGCAAAACACACAGCTATGCATCGACCGGAATAAGGCTATGCGTCGACGCAAAGCCTGAATTTTTTGACAAATACAAATGACAACAATATAAGTCGACCGGTAGGTCGACCATACCAGACCCGAGAAAAATGAATTTCTAGGACACTTGCCATGAGTCGACCGAAGCAGAGTTTAGGTCGACTCAAAGACTTGAAACATAAAAAAAAATGCTTAAATTCATATTTTTGATTCTTTTTGATGAAAGCTATGATAGATCAATTGAGTTTGACACATATGACGCATATTTTGACAACTCTAAATGCAGTACTCGAGATTTTTAGTGCAAGCAAACAAACATGAGAAATAAGGTATACGTATGCATCATGGTGATAACGCCAAATGACTATTCTTCCATGCGGCTCGATTTTGACATCATCCAAACACGCATATCAAGTATCTGAGGCTTTGCCTCACAAAGGGAAGCAACCAATAACTTCCACGATGCACTTAAAAGTGGTTTTGTCGACTCAAGTAACCATTGTAATATCATGCATATTGGACTAATGGGCATCAACAACCAAATGAGTTCACTTCAAGACAGGTACAATTTCAGAAATTAAATACATTATTTTGAACCTATTGTGTTGTTTTTTTCTTCTTCTTTGATTTGTCAAAGTATCAATGATTGTATTGTAGTGTACCTCTATGTCCTACGTGAGCAACAAGTAGATAATGTTGTGCATTATTCTAAGTAATTATTACTGCAAACTTCTCTCTCTTTCTATCTATCTATATATATATATATATATATATATATATATATATATATATATATATATATATATATATATATATATATATATATATATATATATATATATATATATATATATATATATATATATATATATATATATATATATATATATATATATATATATATATATATATATATATATATATATATATATATATATATATATATATATATATATATATATATATATATATATATTCTTTTATTAGCATGAAGTGGAAAAGATTTCATCTGGTTCATACCATTTTGGATGTTGATACCAGAAAAATTAACATAGATTCCGATCAAGAAGAAACAATAGTAGATATGTCCGAGACTCCCTACTATTGATGCCCTTTATTTTTGTCATCTCTTTAGTCTATATATGTGTGTTTTCTGTGGAACTCATGTCATGCAGAGGTTCACATGCTAGTTGGATTTTTGTATTTTTGTATTAGGAATGGGAGTATAAAGCATACAAGAATCTAGTACAACCTCTTTTTCCTTCCTGAGAATAAGGAACTCCGTTGTGTGATGTATAAGATTAACAATTATAATCTAGTACACCTCTTTTTCTCTCCTAAATGGGTATCCCTCACTTCCTTTGTCTTATTTGATTTATCATTTATAAGAACAGTAAGAGTCTTCTTGGTCAAATTAGTATCTGACACAGTGATGAAGGTTTATGAATGTTCTTTTGCATCAAGTCGTCACTACAACATTTTGAATATACAGGAACGCAAAAAAACTGTTGCAAAATCCAAAAAAGCCGTTGCCTTTACATATGAGAACGTTTTCAGGGCGTTCTAAACCAAGGCGTTGTTTTAGCCTTTAGGAACGGTTATTTAGCCAACAGCAACGCCTTATTCAGAGCCGTTGCTGTAATTTTATATAGAGAACGACTTAGAACAGCAACGGCTGGAGGCCATTTTCAAATTTAAACCGTTGCAATTGTTGTTTATTAGAGAACGGCTATTTTATGAAATATAGCAACGGTTCTTAGCCGTAGCCTATTCTAAACCGTTCTAATAGAGGCTTAAGTTCAATTTTTCTTCATAAGTTATAGCAACGCCTTCTTTACTACAGACACACTTTGTAACTGTTGCAAAAAAAATTATTTTATTTTATAAACCAAATAAATTTATTTATTTTTTAATAAAATAAATTTTTATTTTATTTTATAAACCTAATAATAACATCATTCACAATTTTTTTATATAATAATATTCAAATACAAAATATTTTCAAATTGAAAATGATCCAACAAAACATTTTATAAAAAAACATCTTCAATTTTTTTATAAACCTCTTGCATATAAAAAAAAATACATGGCATAATCCATTTAAATATTATAATGTCAATCATTGATTCACAATCAACAAAACATCTTCAAATTACATATCGTAATGTCAACAAAACATCTTCAAATTACTTATCGATCCCAATGTCAATCATCATTCATAGTCAAAATAACATCTTTAATCTATAAAATTAAACTTAAAAAATATTGATTTTTTCTTCCATGGACCATTATTACTTTTCTTTTGCAACCTCCCAAAAGAATTGTTGACATACTTTAGTTTGTTTGAGATTTCTTCCCAAGTTAACAACTCCGGCGGTGACCTATCTTCTATGCTCCCATTGAAATTCCTAGCATTTGACCTATATTTATGATCCTCAGGCAGAAAAACACGATGATCCATATAACACACCTTTTTACTATAATTCAAATATATTGAATTAGTGTTATAGTTACAACATGGACATGCTAGTTTCCCTTTTGTACTCCACCCACTCAACATAGCATACCCAGGAAAGTCACTAATAGTCCACAAGAGAGTTGCCCGCATTTGGAAAGTTTGACTTAGTGATGCATCATATGTTTCTACACCCAAATCCCATAACACCTAAAAAATGCAAGCATTTTTAAGGCTTAATGAATTTAGTATTATCAAGGAAAATTTCATCTTATCTTCCTGTACAAGCACAGTGAGTAACTTCTTTTAAGTCATTTCCCAAGCCTGCAATCACCAGAAATTTCTTTCTATTGTTATTCATTTCGAGAGGGTCAAATGCTACATTAAGTTATGAAGTAAGAAAAATATATAACCAATTGAACTTAAAATTCAAGCAAAACGTTTATTACCTGAATTTGGCCATCTAAAGTTCCAATCACTAACATTTCTTCATTGCTGTCTAGACTCATGCAATTAGCCTTACAATTTGTACCCAACTGTAACGTCTCAACTCTAATGTGTTTCTTCTTATCCCAAATTTCTACAACACCTCCCTTGCACCCCAAATAAATTAATTCTGAACTCACTGCCATAGCCCTCACTTCTGATCCAGTTTGCAGTGATCCAACCATGTTGTAATTGGAATTGTTCCATATATTGAGGTACAAGCAAAACCGTCAGTTAACGATGGTAATAAGACACTGATCAAATTAACATCTAGAAGCTCAAAGAATTTATAGGCTTTAGAGTTTGTTATATCATGAAACCTGATGTTTGTAGTAAGAATTAAGTATTATTTAGACCTTTACATAACCACTATACAATATATGTGTGAGATACCTTTATAGCAGTTCCGTCCACGGAAGAGCCAGCTGCATATATAAGTTCACCATGAATTTTCAGAGCATGAATAGGATTGGATTTCCCAAGCAATCTTTTAGAACCACTTTGAATATTACTGATAGTTCCAGTTTCCAAATGTATCTCCTGAACTATCACAATAAGATTATTATCATTAAGTTGAGATAGCATCGCATTGGATTTAGGCTACACCATACTTCTTAAAACTTGATACCTGAACACTACTGTCATGGCATCCACAGTATAATCTTCCATGAGCATGAGTCAAACACTTCACAGATTTATTAGAGTTTAAAAATTTGGATTCTCCATTTAATGACTGTACCTGATGAGAGAGATAAGTAATTATGGTACACAATAACATTACTTTAGTCAATATGTATGAACTAAATCTAAAGCATTTTGAGCATTCGACGGGAAAGAAGCCAATCTGTTCCAAAAATTAGTGGCATGTCAATATTCCATTTGGGGGTTCATTTTTTGATACAATCAGATAAGAATGAAACTGCAATATCCAGCTCAGAGAATGTTTGTGTTTGAGAGAAGGAAATAGTATTATTTTATAATCTTGTATGTGTACCTTGACACCAGCCCCCTATGGAATGAAACAAGTTGTGCTACTGGTTACAACTAAATTATGAATTTGGTCCTTCATATCTTGCACCTGCTCACAATGAATTCCTTCCTTTCCAATAGACCAGATCTGTTATTCAATAAAACAAAATCATTGTTAACAGGCTTCCTGATATTGAGATTAGAACTGCCATTGTTTTTACCTTTGAAGTTCGGTCAAGTGAACCACTGTAAAGTCGGTCACCAGATTCTGAAATAGTCAAGTTTGTCACGGCTTTGGTATGTTCTTGGATCTCTTGCAACAGAAGTAATAAGTTATCTTTTAATGTCCACACTTTCAAAAGTTACAAAGTATTCTCATGTAAGCTATTCAATCACAGTAAAGTTGTCATACGAAGCCAAGAACCAAACATTTTTCTAATGACCAAGTATATATTATAGCCATTCAATCTTTCAAGCAAGTGGTGAACACCATGTCAAGAAAATTAACTCCTTTTTGTGAAACATTTTATGTTTTTTTTAACACATTTAGCTCAATTCTAGCACCAAATTTAATTAAGCTATAATAGTTAAAATAAGAAATATATTATCTGATTGACTGATATAAAACTTATATGGTTGTTTCAATAGTTGTAATCACGACATGTTAAAATTTACACAGCATATGAAATCCTAAATTTTATTACCTTGATTTTTCCATCTGTATGGCTTGAAATAATTTTATCCTTGAACCAAATGACAGACAGAACTTTTCCATTATCTCTGCAATCTTCTTGAATTAGCTCTTTATGTCTCCAAATGTCCTGTTACACTTTAACACACCAATACACTAACTCTTTTCCAATTTCTAACAATTGTTTCAATCACCTCTAATCTCCAAATAATTAACATAACAGTTCAAACAATCCAAACTAACGTCAACTAATTTCTAAGTCCAATTAACTTACTATAAGTGGTAACAACAAGCTCATATTCTTGATCCAGCTTGACATCAACAAGATCCACCAACTGTTGCTTTTCTTTCTCATGTACAGGATCATTGGTTATGTTAACAGGTAAGAACTCATAGTAGCACATGTTAGGGATAAGGGTATAAGACACATCACAAGGTTTACGTGTTAGGGATAAATATAATCTTAAATTTCTCAGGACTCTGCTGCGCAGCTAGAACCTCAACAAAACCTTCATTTCTGATTTGAAATAATATTTTCAAGACTATATCAGTCAAAATGAAACTTTAACTTAAAACAGAAGATGGAGCATGTATATAGTATAGATGAAATAATACCTAAGTGACCAGGTATACGTGAAAGGTAAAAAGATGTTGCAGCATCAAGATGGAAACCAATAAGAACTTCAGGGGTAGCAAAAACCTGCAAAACAGTGATAAGTTATACTTAAGTCGGTACATGTTTATCTCTCCTAAGATGAAGATAAACTTCTTAAAGTAGGAGAGGATAGAATTCACACATAGGCATGCAACTTATTACTTATTGTTCAACCCCCCCCCCCCCCCCCCCTTCTTCCCATCTATGATTTATACCACCATTCAAATATGGTGCAAAAAGGATAAATCATCTATGTGAAAGTAAGTAAAGTTTTACACAATGAAGTATAATGCTAAACTTTCTAAGACCGCATCTGTGATGTTTTCCTAATCAATGCAATTACATAAACAAATACTTTGATATGCACTATAGAATTATCATGGGATAAACTATCAATATCAACATTTACTCAGTAATAGAGTAAATAATCTGAATCCGAAGTCCCTACTTTGATATGCATTGTAGAATTATCAATAGATAAACTACTAATATCAACATTTTCTCAGTAATAGAGTAAATAATCCCAAGTCCTACATCAGTTTCTAACATATACATAAGTAAGTTTCTATACTACATACAGTTTTGTCTGTTGCAACTCAGAATGTCCCAGGGATTGCAATTCCTGCCCCGCCACCCATGGTAATGCCATTTAGAAGAGCTACCTGAACAAACATATCACTCAAAACAAATCAACAAGTAGAATGTTCTAAAAAATTCTTTGCATGCTTCCATGTTCCCTGCATATATAGAAAGGGAAAAGTTAAAAGAACTGTGGAAAAAAATTCAAATTATGTAACAGCAAATAACACATTTAAAATACAAGGAAAAAGTTCCTAAAACCAAATTGTTAGAAATATCTGAAACTTAATCTATGGGATGCAACATACAGTTTCTCTTAAGCATTCTTTATTTTTGCATCGAAAATACAAATACCACAACTAGAGGGAGCTGGGTCTTAAACGCCAGCACATGTAATAAGATTCAAGGCAGTGGAACTCCGCCATACAGGACTAAAAAATGAAAACAGTTGATATAACTTACCTTCTTTTAATAAATGGTAAAGCGCGACAATATCTCCACCAGCTGCAAATGCCCTGCCACTTCCCTTAAGAAAATTCAAAATGCCATATAAGTTTGACATCCTCATATACATAAAAGGACTATATCATAGTTAGCATGAGATGTATGTAGAAAAATGTAGGAAGAAAAGACAATAGAGTATTACCTTTACCATGACAAAACCAATATCGGGATTATCTTCCCAACTTTTATAAAGTTTATGCAGTCTACCGGCCTGACATAGAATTTGAAGGGGCGGGGCTGATCAACGAGATAGAAGATAGGGTTGGGTTTGAGAGAAGCTCGTACGATGAAGAAAGGATTAGGGTTACATATGGGATGAAGAATAAAATGTTAGGGTTAGAATCAATTTGGGAGGAATGTTTCTTCTCTCTTTGTGCATTAGAATCAATTTGGGAGGGAACTAAAAATTCCTACATACACACACATATCCAACACTTAGAATCCATACATACACATGCTGAAAAATACCACAGATGGTTTCTACAGCCTCAAAACTACAGTATCACAGTTGCATTACAAATCCAATACACATTTGCAAAACTTCAGAATTCAATTCAATCTTTGCAGTTTAAATGACTTTCAAAGTTGCATTACAAATCCAATACACACAATGGACCATGCATTCAATAAGTTCATTACATTCGATACAAACACATACTACTTACAATGACAATCTTCCAGAAGCAACCATACATCAAAAATTCATTAGAATTAGTAATCAGCATTCTCCATTGAAACGCTATCAATCTTGTACTATACATGACACAAGCATAAAATTCAAAATCAGAGACTTAATTTTACAAACATTTACCGAAAAATTTCAAGACTGTTGTTTCTGATTCATGACAAGCAAAACCTCACCACCATTAATAATGCTAGAATCCAAGAACTCTCTCACTTCATCTTCATCTTTATCAAAATCAGAGACTTAAGTTTACAAACATTTACCAAAAATATCACGCAAAGAAATCACAAAGATATCTCTAACTCAATGACCCACCAAAATAACACAGGGCTACAAATTATAATCAAATTATTACCTTTTTACCAGGATGAACCGAAAACTCACACACCGCCGAAAACTCACACACCGCTGAAAACTCGCACACTATTACGTTTGAAAATTGAGACCTATGAAAACAAAATCGTTAGATTTGTCGGTAGAGAATAGAGAAAGTTGAAGGAGAACATTTGCACTCACACAAGTTGAATGAGAAGCTCGTATGATGAAGAAGAACATTTACACACACAAGTTGGGAGAAGCTCGTACGATGAAGAAGAACATTTACACACACACAAGTTGGGAGAAGCTCGTACGATGAATGTTAGGGTTACAAAATCAATTTCTTCTCTCTCTCTATGCATTTGAATCAATTTGGGAGGGAAGATGTTAGGGTTACAAAATCAGTTTCTTCTCTCTGTGCGTTAGAATCAATTTGGGAGGGAAGATTGAAAATTTTACAGAGGTTTGGGAGGGACAATGAAAAGTCTGAAACCTCTTTCCCGCTAGAGACAAGTAAATAATATTTTATTAAAATAATTAAAAATTATATAAGAACGGCTCCTAACCGTTGCTAATAGGAGCCGTTCTCATTGTCCTCTACGAGAACGGATTTGCATAGTTGTATAAAATTTACAAAAAATTATATAAGCTATCGCAACAAATTATATAATTAGTTGCCTATTACTCTCTACGAGAACAATTTTTTTACTTCCTGAAAATTAGGCGTTGCTATAGAGTAAAAATGTTGTAGTGCGTCATCTTCTATTCTTGGCAACTCATTGGA